GTCGAATAACGATAATTTTCATCTCCTTCTCAATTTTAAAATCCTGAACTGCCAATTTTATAACCTTGAAGAATCTGGCAGAATTCAAACTCCCTGTAACTAATACGTACCTAATGTTTACTACAAGAAAAAAGATAGCCATACCTTGGGTATCAATGTAAATGGGTCCTCTCGACCGGAGTCCACCACGCCCTCACAACAATCGATGTTAAGCAATTCTTTCATTTTGGGGGGGGGGGGGGGGGAAGGACTTAAAGGGCTGGCTCTTGAGTTGTAGTTTTCCAAAAGCAACTCCTTCCAGCAGTCAAACTGTCGGAACAGTTTTGCAGGGTTTTGTTATGAAAAACATGTAGGTACCTATGTTGTTAATAATAATTAAAAACTATCAAGATTATTTTCCATATAACTGTATTTAAAAAACCTGCTCAAAGCCAGTAGTAACAATAAATGGTATTCATACAATTCAAAAGCTTGAAACTACCCTGAAGCGTCAAAGGTTTTTATCCCAAAGCCTGTATTTGCGTTCTATTGCCGCTCGTGCAAAGATAACGACTTGGCACAGTGCTCAATGTGTCAGTGTACTGGGCCAGAGGATTACTGTTAGTTATTCTCTACACTTGGCAAAGACTCACGTTTGGATGAATACGTTTGGTGTTACGTAAGAATTTGTATGGCTATAATCTATACTAATATTATAAAGAGGTAAAATTTGTTTTTGACGTGACAACGTCTTATAATTCGATGGAGCCGGCTGCACGCACGAAAAAACATGACTCATGCGGCGTTACCTCGCTCTGAAGCGTTCCATTTAAGGCTTGAAGTGCAAGCGAGAGCGCGGAACGAGCGACAAAGAGGCCCAATCGGCCTACGCGTTCGGCAGCGTTCGACATCTGTCTAACAAATAAAATTAAAATTTTCTTTTGAAAAATGCAACCATTCCATTAGTATTTTCTTATGACGTTGTCACGTTCAACTATCGTCAGTAAAGCGACTTTACAGACAACCGATTTTTTTATGTAGGAGTAATCTTTGAAACTGCACTGATAGCGTAGTGGTTTAACCTGTCTCCACGCCGCTTCCTACTACGCTGAGTTTTGTGGGTTCGGTCCTCACATGGGACGACACTTTGTGTGATTCACAACTTGTCGTTCTTAGTCTGGATGTTCTTTGTGTCTGTTTCACGTATGTTAGTAAAGTTGCCCGCGATGCAGGATATATTCCTAGTTCGAAAATTCTTTAAAAACAAACCTACTCAACCGATTCTGGTATTTTTTTCACTCATATGTAGCTTCATTGTACCTGAGAGCTATAGGTTATTAATTATGTTCATCGATATTAGCGGGCGGAGCCTCAAGCGACAGGCAGTTCTATATACTGATAATAATAGCCAATAGGACGTGTTTATGACAAGTATTATCTGATGGTTCTGAGCTTTGGCGTTCTTCATGTCCGACAGAATGTTTTAGGGAATCATGCCCTCTTACGCTTAGGGTTTAAACCTAACGCTTTGTTACATTATCGTGTGGATGTTACAATATTTTTGAAGTGAAAAATTTCTTTAGCCGAGTTGGTCATTTTTGAACATCAAAGAAAAAAATGCATTTTTTGAGAATGGAAAAGCCAATGAACTCGCGACAATGTTACCGTTACCGACACCTCTGTATATAAGTATCTACATATATTGGCCCCGTTTACACAAGAGTTGAGTTGGGTTTAAATACATTGACAGTATAATATAAACAAATACTGTGTATAAACGTACAACATAGATATATAGATATATTCATGTCGGAAGTTTTCCAATAAAAAAAAACAAAAATGTTAAAATCAAAAAAGTTTTCACTTGTCGCCACTCCCGGAGTGCCTCTATTTTTTTTATGGTATAGGGGGCAAATAAGTAGACCAGTCACCTGGTGGTAAGTAACTAATCACTAGTTATAGTTACTGAGAGAAACTTATCTTCTTAAACACTTCCAAAAGGCATTAAACTTTGTTTTAATTTGTAGGGTGCGTTCTAGGGATGAAATGAAATCACAATCATGTGATGAATCATTCGTTTTATAAATCATATCATCACACCTGCGATTAATTTACAAAACCACTGCTACTTAATTATTATTATTACGCTCGCTATTAAAGAAGTCGTAATCTTGGATAAAAAGAATTTACCTATGAATTTAATTTATGACCATTTATCTTTGTGAAATCACTGTGATTTGAAGGAATCATTTTATCATATGAATGTTTTAAAAGTAACAGTGTTTTCCATGGGTGGAGGGTGATGGCTTAGGTTATCGTCAAAGTCAATATCATATACCTGTGGTATTAAAAACAAATTATATTTTAACTATCTGTTTCTACGTGAATACTAAAGAAGAAGGAGGTATTGATACATATACTGCGGATGATCCCCGAGGTGGGAGGTTGGTTTAGAAATTGTTAATATCACGTAGTATAAGGACGTTCCCTTAGAGCAATGATTCCTAAAATGGTCAAGGTGGACCCGCAGGGGTCGTTGTATATATTAATATAAAATGATAGCAATTTACAATATTTAGCAAAAATTTACTATTTCCTTTTTTAAATCATTATAAATGCCACTTAAATGATAGTTATTTATAACCGAATCAGTTGGGTCATTACTAATTTCTGGACCGCCCAAAGAGAAAAGGTAAATAAATAAAAAACTGTTGTGTAAAACTTTTGTATAATAATTATTATTAGGTATTGTACAATAATCAAGACATACAAACATACAATGTCTACACACAGTCTAATAGACATCCACTAACATAGCCTAGAAGGGAGGCAGTCACGGGGATTACACCTAAACTATAATTATTCCAAAGATATGGAGAGGCACACTTTTTTTAGGAAAGGATTTAAGCGATACATACCTCAGAGAAATATTGTATAGTCGAGCGCTAGTAGCAATAGTACACATTTTTTTCTTTAGTAGTTTGAAATAAGACTTTTAAACTTATCTTGCTAAATAAAACATGAATACATTTTTAACGTATGAATCGCCATTATTACGTATCTGACAAATAAAATAAACAATTCCAATGTTTTTATTTGTCGTGTATGGTGTACAAGCCTTAATTAATACTTAGTTTCAACAGTTATAAAATCTGTAGGCAGGTATCATGGATAGTCAGTAGACTCAACAATCAGTTCCATAGATATAAGGCACTAGACACACCCGAGACTGCCCCAATAAAAATTAAAAACACATGATTACATCTACATAACACAATAAGAGAAACAGTTATTAAAACAAACACTCTCCTAACTTAATAAACAAATAGAGGATCATGATTGAGAATTTTTATTAAAAGGAAATAAAAGAGGAGTGTGGAAACTGGATGTTCCTAGAGTCTGGATGACGCAATCATCATTTATTTATAGTTCATTTGCGTTAAGTAAATAGTGACGCATCGATCACACCTCGCCCCTAGACCAATAAGATTCCAAGAGGTGATTGTTTCGTACGAAAGCTACGAACCTGATTGGTCAGAGTTGTACCCAATTGGCGGGCTTAATTGATGTGTCACTATTTTCTTAACGCGAATGAACTATGTTCTTTATTAGACTACAAAAATCATTTATCACATTCTTCATACCATTAGAGCTAAATCTCAAATGTGAGTTCGTTGGTTATACGTTTAGGTACTCAAACAACATTTTATGAAATTTGCATATATACATTGTCGGGTACATCCAGAAGAAAAAACCTTGCCCGAGGTATACCTGGATTGGACTGTAACGCGACCGAAACCGCGGGCAAAAGCTAACATTAGATATGTCTCTAGTCAAACCAGCAACGCGTCTTATAAAACAACTATAAGTAAATTATATTCGTTAACTGAATTTCTTATCATTTTGTTTTGTAACATTTTTTTTCAAATTTAAAACATTCCAAAAAGTTAAACACTAAATAGTCTAATATATTATCTAAACTGGCCTCTAACATGAACTTCATGTTTTAAACGATGTTTGAATGGTAAAATACACAATATTATAATATTTATGGCAACATAGATCAAATGCGTATACTGTACGACGTACACAACTCGTTATTTCCTTCTCCTTTTTTAGGAAGCACAAAAATACCCTCATTGATTGTGATGCAACAGAAAAAGACGTGGTTTAGTTGTAAAATTGTTCTACAGTTATAATGAACCAGTAATTCTGTCACACCCGTCCTTGTGGTGACGGATTAATAATACTGAGTGTCACCACCCCTATACATCCCGTGGGTATCGTAAGAGCCGACTAAGGGAGCAAAATACGCAAGACAACAGCACTGTAAAGAGAAGGAAAACTCAAAAAAAACCGGCCAGCGTGGTATAGTAGGCTAAAACCTCCATTCTAAGGAGAGGCCTATGTCCAGTAGTGGACTATTAAAGGCTGATGAAATGATGTGACAGTATCCTAAGGGTTATAGCGTGGTGTTACGCAGCCTATAGTCCTCAATTAATACTATAACAAATACAAAAGAATTTTTCAAATCTAATTTTAGAGATTAAAGTTATTATATCAGACAAATTTTTAGTATAGTATTTCTGATGAAGATAGAAATAAGCATGATGTCTAACATTTGGGTCTTTGAGATTCTAACGAGTCTTTGAGAAAGGTTTATGCCAGGTAGTGGATATCCTATTGCTGCAATGATCACAAGTATTGATTGAATTGAATTTAGAATTGATCAAATATAGTTTTAGATAGTAGTATTGTTTCTGTAAACATTTATTTTTTAATGGAGTCATTAGAAATGATTCAAAATATTATTTTGAATTATAACCTCTTAAAGCTATAAAGCTAACTGTACTATCTTGTTTGAAAAGAGGTTTTTGTGAAGTAGATCAAATGTGTATATCTCCTACTAATTTACAAGATCTATATATTAAATAAATATATAGAAACAGCTGTAGGTAAGCAATTGCTCAAAACATTTCACAAACAAATTCTGAATTAGTAAAACATAGTCATAACAAACGTCAGTTGGCCGTTTGACTCTTTCTTCTCCTCGAAGATCGTTGAGGTATTTTCTCTTCCACATTCTCCTCGGATTCCTGCAACACTTTCTTTCTCAAAGACCTTCGAGGAGTGACAACGTCATCCTGATTGCTCTTTCTTCTACTTCTCGTTAGCACTGGACTCCTATCTTCCGCATCTTGCCTCACGAGTTTAGACTTCCTTCTAGAATTTTCTTTATTCTCCACTTTCTCCATATCCATGGAGGAGATGCCGCTATCAGGGTGTTCGTCAGGCACAATGTCATTAAGCTCACTCTCTGGAGTCCGGTACGAAGTGTCGTGTGACTCAGCATCAGAGTGATCAAAAAGAACCACTTTGATGGACTTCCTGGTGGATTTTATGTCAGTGTTTGACGGCTTGAGTATGCTGCGACCGGGTGTGGCGTATATGTTGATCGGAGTCAATGGCGTTTGCTGTCAAGACAAACATAATTAGAAGGTGGTTCTGCCTGTATAAATTTCCATTGAACTTATAGTTTTTGTGATGATATATCCAGAAATGAATATGATATTGACTTCTTCTAAGTACTAAATATATGTACTCAATAAAATCATCATCACCCTCAGATCCTTTATCCCAAACTAGTTTGGGTCGGTACAGTCTACTACGACACGGCTGCACTTCGGTGATGATGATGTATACGAAATAAATAAATCCCATCACCCATATTGGAAACTAATAGTTGGAAACCAGTTTCCAAAACAGAATGACTTCTATTTAAACGAAACCTGGTTTTCAATCAATAAAAAATAATTCTGTTTTTAAAACTGGTTACCACAACTCGGAAGGTTGGATCTTCTCTCGAAACTGGTTCAACTTACAATCCTTGATTAGAAATAATTTTCTGGTGACTTACAAGTTTCTTATGTACCATAACAATATTCTACTAGGCAATAAATTCCCAAACTAAGCAGAGCTTGTACTATGGCTACTAGACAACTGACATAAATACATACATCCTTTTTTTGTACTAATTGAATTATATTTTGAAAACTAGTTTCCAATCATTAATTTTCAATATGGCCGGAGAGAAATAAATATAATAATAAGTCTTTACCTATGAAATTGCCGTTTTGTATGCAATAAGTGAAAGTACTTATTTTTACAAACTTTTTATTTCTGTTATTCGAAGTAATCACCCATGCAATCGACGCATCTTTGCCAACGCATTGGCAGTTTATTGATGCCCTTCTTGTAAAAATGAGCTGGACGGGAGGCAACAAACTCTTCAAAGGCATTTTGTACTGCCTCTCGGGAATTGAATTTTTTACCCACTAAAAAGTTGTCTAAATTTTGGAAAAAGTAATAGTCGGTAGGTGCAAGGTCTGGTCTAGACCTATTATACGAGCATATACACACGGCTGTATATGTTTTTTACAGTCGGGTCTTTATCCCCAAGAGGTAAAACTGAGACATATTAATACGCCCAAATTTTGCAAACTATAAATAAACTATGATTAAATGCTTCTTATATATTTACTACGATTTCTTTACAAAATTTTGTTTCAATAAAATCCCTATTTACATAAAAAACAACAAACTAACTAACTCTCGTAAACGTAATAACTTGTTTAGTACTACTAACCGGTATGGGAGCTATTCCTTCATAGTCCATATTCTTGCTCAGTACTGACGCACGTAACATAGCGAACGACGCGGAGTTCTGTAAAAAAACAAGGAATATTAACATTTAACACACATGTCCTATTAAAATCCCGGCGGATACAATCCAGATATTATATTTATATATAGACGACGGCGTAGTGGTTTGTGTAACGGACTGCTATTCCAAAGGTCGCGGGTTCGATTCCCGCTCAAGTTAAACATTTTTATTTTATTTTATTTTAATTCTTTTTGCACAAACAAAGTACAATGGCGGACTTAATGCCAAAGGCATTTCCTCCCAGTCTACCTTTGGGTGGTGGGGAAATGTCTGAGTAGGTGCATGAAATTAAAATTAGGTTACATACATACTGAGATACACATACATATATATACTTGCTGAGTAATACATACAAGACTAACATAATAACATATAAGACTTTAGAGATGTGATAAGTCTGCTAAAGTGTCGAGAATTCGAGCTCGGACTTTCGTCTTAAATGAGTGCTGCGACTGGGTGCTATCCTGATTTCCAAAGGCAGAGCGTTCCAGAGGAGGACTGGTTGGACTAAGAACGAAGAATGGACACATGCGGAAGTATGAGTGGGGCATAACAGAAGTGGATTGTTTAATAAACGGAGAGTTCTGTTGTGATTGGCACATAGAAAATGAAATGAGGATGTTAGGTAGAAAGGGGAAATAGGTGAGTTGAGTATGGAATAGAGGGTGGTGAGGGCGTGCAGCTGACGGCGCTAACGAATCGTGAGCCAGTTCAATTCACGACGAGAGGAAGAAACATGGTCGTATTTGCGAAGGTTAAAGAATCGAATGCAGTTATTCAGAAGGCGGTCGTATTTATTGAGGAGATCTGCATTCAGGTCATAATAGCATACATCACCATAATCCAAGATAGGGACAATAAGTCTGTACTAGCATCGCTTTTGTCTCGGAAGGAAGGAAGTTTTTAAGCCGATAGAAGGCTCGTAGCGTACCTGTGACTCTCTGGCTAACGCTGGTGACCTGGGTTTGCCAGCTGAGCTTGGAGTCGATAAATAGGACTAGGTTCTTAACAGAGGGACTGAAGGGAATGACTGTGCCGTTATAAGTAATGGGTGGTAGACATTTGTGTGCGTGAACATTTTTTGTTTGATTTGGTCTGGGTGTTTCTATGTATAAAAAGTATGTATTTACAAAAAAAAAAGTATATATGAATTTATATCAGTTGTCTAGTACCCATAGCACAAGCTCTGCTTACTTTGGGACTAGATGGCAATGCGTGAATGTGGTAGAATATTATTATATCCGCATTGTATCTTCAAATTTCAATGGGACCAAACAGGAAGTATACCCAATACAATTTGTCTATTAAATTTACATCCGATTGTTACCATCTGGAATAATACCCAAAATACCAGATGGCTGGCAGGAGCTGGATGCGAGAAGCCCAAAATCGATCTAAGTGGCGAGCAAAGGGAGAGGCCTATGTCCAGCAGTGGACTGCGATAGGCTGATGATGATGATACCAGAGAATTTGAAATCATTTTACATTTCTAATTGTATCCATTACCAGTACAATATTATACATAAACCGGTACTTAAATTTCTATATTCATATTATATAATTTCATATCCATAACAACTGATTCCAACCCATTAAAACTTAAGGTTTAGATTTTTTTTTTGCTTATTCTTTATAAATCATTCAAAGAAAAAAAAACAACTTTCGTAGCGGCGCATGCCGAGACGATATATGAGCGAGATAGACACGCGTCTATCTCGCTCATAAATCGTCTATGAACTGATTATGCAAGCCAGGGGTGGTTTACATATCGAATACCAATAGTTGCAAGCGAGTGCTTTCTTCTCTCTTTCTTGCTGCTGATATAGGTACGTGCAGGAAAAGGATGGGAGAAGAAAAGCCTTGTGTTAATGACAACCGAAAACTATACTAAAATGTGTTGCGGCGGTGGTGGCCTAATCTTCTATTGATATCATCAACAGCCTTTAATAGTCCACTGCTGGACATAGGCCTCTCCTTAGAAAGGAGGTTTTGGCCTACTATACCACGCTGGCCAGACGGGTTGGTATAGGGTTTGTATCAAGTTTGCCTTCTTTTTGCAGTGCTGGTGTCCTGCGTGGTTTTGCGCCGTTAGTTGGCTCTTACGACACCCACGGGATGAATTGGGGTAGTGACATTCCGTATTCTTAATCCGTCTATCTATTGATATCGGTGGTACTATTTACAAAGTTGCTTGTATTTTTAAATCTACTTACTTTAGTGGCAGACTTCTTGGCTTCGTTAGATAACACAGCTTTTAGTAGAGAGTTCTTGCTTCCCGGAGTTCCCTGTCCAGGGGAGTTCGCAGCTGGAGATTTGACAGGCGATCGCACACTAAAGAATCCTGCGTCGAATGTCTTGCTGTCGCCAGCACCCTGAGATGGGAGTGCTAAAGTATCATCTTGCTGTTCTTTCTTGGCTTTCCTAGCAGCTATAAAAAGAAATAAGTTGTAGTCGAAATCAGAAAGATATGAATATGCAGTATGTTGCGGATTCGATTCCCAAATATTTTTTTAAGACAGTTTTTATGTTTATAAAACCTTAAATTGTGGTCTCCCCACCCGTTTTCCATGCCCTCGTGTAACCTTTTTTCCGTTTACATTACTAATAACGGCTGGAGCCTGTCTCGTAGGCGGACCATTAAAAATCTCATTTAAAATCAAATCTCTTTTATACATTTTACAAATAACAATAGGAATTTAGAGTTTGATTGCCTCGGTGGTGTAGTGGTAGCGTATGCGACTGCTGTGCTGAGGTCTCAGGTTCGATTGCTGGGTCGGATCAAATGTTTGTATGATCTGCAAATATTTGTTTCGGAGATTGGGTGTTGTCTATATATAATATGTATTTACAAAAAAAACTTGATGGCATTGTGTCAGATGTCAAAAAAAAATAGACAGAATTTTGAAAATAATCATCAATGGTAATGGCCCCACTTCAAATTGACTTTAAACGGGTCAGGGCGCCAGGTCTGACAATAATGACAGCTTTTTACGAAAATGTTCTAAAAAAGATGTAAAAATTAGCCTTGTTAATTTAAACCAAGTTAATAAGGTAAATGGTACCTAAAAATTGACCTCAATATTCAGATTTAAGGTTTAAAATCAAAATTCTTAATTTTCTTCTATATTTTTACTAGAGTACTTTACATCATCATCATCATCATCAACAGCCTTTAATAGTCCACTGCTGGACATAGACCTCTCCTAAAGTATATATGTATATATGTGAGTACTTTACATTACATTATTATTATTATATTATTATTAATACATTAGAAAAGTATACTATTTTTCTAATGCACTGTAATGTTAAAAAAAATATGATAGTGATTACCTGCAATAATATCTCTTAACTGGCTAGGTGCCCTTGAAGGTTTCGTCACTTTCTTCACAGGATTCTTAACCACTTTCTTTTTTATTGCGACGGGTTCTACTACCTCCACCCAGCCACGGGCGCGCAGTTCCTCCAAATTATTAAAGCGTATGTCTACGTTTTCAATCTAAAGGGATGAGAGGACAGATAATTATTAACTTTATCCTTATATAAACAGGACAAATAATTGTGTGATGAGCAATTTGTTCTGTGTCTGGGTTTAATTTATCTATAACTAGCTGACCGGCGCAACTTCGTCTGCGTCTCTCAATAGTAATAAATTTTCTCCGTTTTTTAAACATTCTTCATTGGTGCTCCGCTCCTATTGGTCTTAGCGTGATGATATATAGCCTATAGCCTTCCTCGATAAATGGGCTATCTAACACTGAAAGAATTTTTTAAATCGGACCAGTAGTTCCTGAGATTAGCGCGTTCAAACAAACAAACAAACTCTTCAGCTTTATAATATTAGTATAGATATATATGTATTTAGAAATATGAATGTTTATCAGCAGTCTGGTTATAGTACAGGCTCGGCCTTGTGTGGGATCAGACAGCCGTGTGTGGGATGTCCAAGGTTATTATTATTATTCTTATAAACCTAAACAATTTCTTTTACCACCCGAACCTTAACAGAGAACATCATAAGTATAATCCTATTTGTAGAATTATCTTCACAGCTGCTGCGTCAGGAGCAGTAACGGTGTAGCGCTGACCTGCATAAAGACCATGTCCCAGAAGCCGTGCAGGTCTGCGGGCGTGACGAGCGCGCGGCCGGGCTCGGGGCGCGCGCACGCCTCCACCAGCGCCGCGAACTGTTGCAGCTTCTGAGACATCAGCAGCCGCGCCTGCCCCACCGCCGACAGCGCCGCCTCCTGTACACATTAACCATAATTCGATAAATAGTATACGGGTTGCCTACAACAACATCTTTAGGCAACTTATGTGACTACCACGCTACTGTAGCGCTTTAACTCCTTTGAGGCCATCCAGAGAAACCGTATAGAAAAATTCATGTCCAGAGTTGACCGGTGTAAGAATACTATTATAAGAAGTCTGTCAGATAGAATAAGTACTTCATGTATATACAAGCACTGGATCAAAACGGCAGGATAATATTTTCAACTTCTTTTTTTTTTGTTTTTGTATTTTCTTTTTTATTGTTGCCATTTTGTATGTACCCTTATGAATCTTGTGTTCGCAATAAAGTTTTATTATTATTATTATTATAATCTCAACAAAATGTACTCTTCATTATCACTAACAGTCTTTAGTAGTTCACTGCTGGACATAGGCCTCTCAAAACAGAGATTTTGGCCTACTATACTATGCTGGCCAGACAGGTTGATATAGGTTTTGTTTCAAGTTTTCCTTCTCTTTCCAGTGCTGTTGTCCTGTCTAGCTTGCTCCCTTAGTCGGCTCTTACGAAACCCACGGAATGAATAGAGGTGATGACACGCCGTATTCTTAATCCGTCACCACACATCGTACACACGTACTCTTAGTCAAATAACATTTATTTTATTTTTAATTTAACTATAAATTCTAGATTATTTCCTAGCAAGTGATTTATCAAGGAATGAAGTGACAAGTGACCTGGACAGTCTCAGGCAGGATATTCTGCTGAGATATCTTCTCCCAAGTCTCGCACATCTCCGTCATGCGTTTGATTTCCGATGCCAATTGCTTCCTAAAGTGGTCCACGCTGCCCATATCGCTCGCATCCTCGTCTAATAAACCTAGAAGACGAAACAAACGCGACTTTAAGATTTTATAGCAACTTAACATTAGCCATTTATTGGGAAATTCGTGTGAAAGTGTCGAAACACACAAATATGGGCCAGGATCGACCGGAGTGGTATACCAAACCTCACAATAAACCGGTGTTATGCAGTTCTTTTTTACAATCCATCAACTGAGTGAGGTTACCGGGACACAAACAAACCTGTCACTGCCATCACTCCTGATGTAGGGGGTGGGAGTGACAGGGCGGTAACGCACTGGTGATTCTTCAGTTGCAAGTTTCCATGGGCGGCGGTAGAAAATTAAGGGACTTTGGGCTGTAAAAATGCGATTTATATTCCCTGTCAATGATAATTTGTCTGCACGGATGTAATAGTGGTTTAAGCGGTCACCTTGCCGCTTTCTTCTGCGCTAAGTGTTGAGGGTTCGATCCCAACATGGGACAATGACTTTGTGAGATTCACAAATTGTTGTTCTAAGTCTGGGTGTTCTTTGTGTCCGTTTCATGTATGTTTGTAAAGTCCCCCGCGTCACATTAGTTATTCCTAGTACGGGAGTAGTATTTAAAAAAAACCTTGAGATTCATTCCTGGCCGTTTGTGTTGCTGGAATCTACAAATAAAGTAAAAGCTAATGAACGGTTCCACCCCTCCCTTCCTCACCAAGTAATATTTAACGGTAGATTACTGCCATGTGAGCCAATCTAAATTATTTACCATTTTGCGAACCTTTTCCCAAACCGGGTTGGGGTCGGCTTATGGTCTACTACGACGCGGGTGAACTTTCATTTTTTACGTGGAGCAACTGCCATTGCCGTATCCGTAACTATTGCCACAAATGTTTGTATGTCAACCGGGACCGACGGCATAACGTGCTCTCCCAGAAACGAGGTCTTAATGTGTTCAGAATATTCACCCATCCATAGACTGACCTATATAGGAGTGCTTAACTTTACAATGTGCTACCATTTACCATTTTGACGGGCCTGTTGGTCTAGTGGTTAGTGACCCTGACTGCTAAACCGGAGGTCGTGGGTTCGATTCCCAACCAGGACAAATATTGTGTGATGAGCACGGTCATTTGTTCTGTGTCTGGGTGTAATTTATCTATAATATGTATGTATTTAGAAATATATAAGTATGTTTATCAGCGGTCTGGTTACCATAGTACAGGCTCTGCCTAGTTTGGGATCAGACGGCCGTGTGTGAGTGTGTGAGATATATTATCTTTATTATTATTAGGGGAGAGTGGGGTAATTACGAACACTTAAGGGGAAATTGAAATTAAACAAAACCAGATTAAGTTACGAATGTCATTTATTACTTAACATTTACTTTAACTAATGAACCTTAAGTTCTGATGAGCAACATAGATAAACTTTCAATACAGAAACGAATATTAATAAGAAAACAAAACTATGGGGTTCGGGATTACCCCACAACACGTGGGGTAATTACGAATGGTGTGTGGGGTAATCACGGACATAATCTAATCATCACACATATCACATATAAATCCTTTTGATGTACTTTCACCACTCGTACACTTTTCATGGGCCCATAAATTACATTTGTAGCATTTTATCCAATCTTCATGTGGAGGATCTTTATATTTTTCATCACAAACTAAGCAAAAATACTCATTTTCTTTCGCATCTCTTTCTTTGGTTTTCTTTTTCTTACGCGGTACGTCCTTTTCTTGAACCTTTATCTTAATATCAGTGTCTGCAAATGCTTGACGATTCTTCACACCCTTCTTGGAACCTTTAGTGGAACTAGCAGCCTTTTCCCTTCCTTTCATGTACTCCTTATTTTTGCTTGCAAAGCTTCCAAATTGTCGAAGAACATTTTCAGTTCTGTTTCATTAAAAGCTGTAATTCCATTGATAGACGTGGACTCAGGATTACGTAGCGAAATATTAGGATGTCTTTTCTTAAACCCGTAGAACCAATACTTTTTAATTGTGCTTTAAGTGATTTACTTCGGCAAATTTAAAAGCTATTTTCCGGACCATTTCTATGGTCAAACCATGAAATAGCTTACTGCATTTTATGATATGTTCTTCTAATTCTTTTTCCTGTTCTTCAGAAAATACAGCCTTCCTTCCAGTTTTTGGTTCTTTTGTAACTTCCTTTTTGAGATGGTCGTATATAGTACTTTTTGGAATAGAATAAGGAGCAGCTGCTTTTCCTAGTGAAAGTTTTTTGTTCTTAACACCCCGAATGGCTCTTTCTAAGTCTTCTAATTTGTATTTGGTCTGCGTCTTTCTTTGGTAATTTCGTGGCATCTGAAACATATTTAAGTAGGTATAAATAAGCTCGTGTAGGTACAGTGCTGAAAGCAGAGAAACATAAAAGCAAACTTCCTCAAATGTATTTCATCAAAATTCATCATTATTATCATCAACGCAATGCAGTCGACTGCTGGACATAAATTATAAAATAAAAGACAATAATTTAATTGTTCAGGGGTAATTACGAACGGTCGGGGTTACCCCACTGAAATCGTCCGTAATTACCCAACAGACACGTTATCACAAAACTATTTTTTTTTTTTAGGTTAGAATCGCGTGATACACGCGGCAAGTCCTTAGAAACATTCTTGAATTAGGACGTTAATTCATAAAAAAAATACCGAATTTCTATGTTACACCTAAAATATTATATATCTATTCAATTTTACTCGAAAATTATATGAAATTGTTGAAAAAACAAAAAGTTAACATACCTTTTACACCGAGTGCGTTGTTGCTTCACAACTCTTTGTTCGGCACTAGGTTCGGGATCGACTCACGATTGCATTACTCGGAATATCTTCAATCCTTTTCTAACATAGCCAAACGAACGTATCCGCGATTACCCCGCGTCCGTGATTCCCCCACTCTCCCCTATTATTTAGCTACACTCTGAAATCTTTCTATACACTTGGCATTATATCTACAAAAATTGTACTTAGGCTACTAAATTAATTATTAATTAAACCTAAAATTACCATAACGAATTATGTGATAATATAACTATTATTATGTTTTCAATTATGTGTTCAGTAATTCAGTGTTGTATTTGAGAAATTCGTGTTGTTGTACTACATACAATGTATTTATTTCGTTTAGTTATTATATTGCTAGGTGTGTACAGAATTAAGACATGTGATTGTAGGTGTACTACTGTCGTGGGGGAGCCATAGGCGTCCATATCCTTCTGAAGTCTGTCAATTTTGTTTTACATTTAAAAAAAGTAGTATCCATCACCCTAGCCGAACTCTACCTTTCCGTTTCTAAGTTCTATCTTTGTTCCATTTAGAATCAATTACATCCCGTTCTGGCGTGAGACCAGCGACTGTCCTTAAATAAACCATCTAAAATGTTGTGTCCAACCCCAAAAAAAATTGGAGGAAGGGTATTTCTATCCCACTAATGACAATGACTGGCTCTCAACAACATTAACATTTAATCTTCTATCTTTGTTTATGCAAAATATATTAATTTTTACAGCATTTTCTCCTACTCTGTCACTAATTGAAGATAACACAGAATACCGTCTGAGAGTCAATGATTTGTTTAAACGTTCACGTAAATCACTGAACAAACATAACACTTTATCATCAATCCTGGAAGAAAACTTAGACCAAACAGATAGAGTTAGTGAACTATTAGAATATGTTGACCATGTCAAAAACAGAGGTGTACAGGTTTTGAAAACTATGGACACATTTATAACAGAGAAATTGAAACTAAAAAGTAAAACTGTGGATATAAAACATCTGATACACAATTACTCTAAACAAGTACAGACATACTTTGACAAAACCGTGAGAGATAAACAAAAACTGGTTTACAGTGAAGATATCATAATTCTTGATACGGCTGAGGTGGCATGCAGACTTCTTTACCAAAGTCAAATGAAAATTCTAAATGATACACTAGATTCATTTCATAGTAGCCGTAGTACTAGAAAAAAATACTTTAGCTTCCTAACGAATGCAACTAAACATATTATGGATACAATCAAAGAAAACAGTACATACATAAAATCAGAAGAAATGCAATACATTTGCATGAAATATAGAGTATGTAGACAATATCCTGCATTTACAGATCATTGTGGCCATTTTGTGAGAGAAATACTACAGATGCCGAAGAACAAACTGATAATATTTCAGAAAATACTTGGTATGGTTGTGAGTCACAATGAGAATTTCATAAACATGGTTATTGATATAAAAAAAGACAGGGATGCGGTGCAAGATGTGTTAAAGACCATAGCAAATGTTGATAACATCAAAACTTTTTTCAGTGGATTGAAAGAAACACTTACCCTAAAATTTGAAATTATACACAGCCCTAAGCATGCAGACAAAATTAAAGCGGCAGCATTGCGTATACTTCTTGACGTAATAGATAAATTGTATGAAAAAGAAGATGTCAAACCAATTCTTACTGTTTTAGATACAACTCATAAATCCATTCAAAAATGGGTCCACGATGAGATCTCATCAATCAGTGTAGTAACAGCTAATTTTATCAGTGAATTATTTAAATTTTTAGATAAAATAATACATTCAAATAAAGATAGTTTGACAACTATTTATAATTTGATAGAAATTTTAGTTGGTGACAACACAATAGTGCATGAAGATTATTACAATACAGTACTTGGACGAAAGCACGAACTATGAATAACAAATATTGTTAAATTTAGTTGATGTACATAAATAAAATTAGACCTTTAAAAAAAGGAATTTTGTGAACAGGACCCAACTCTTTTTCTAGCCGTATCACACCATAGTGACTTGTTGAATTTGAATAAACATTTACAGTTTAAGATGTGTTTGTTTCTTTGAACCATGTAATGGCCAGATTATGACTATGGTGTCCCCTCTTAACTTTTGCAGATTGATTTAATTAATTTTGAAAACAAATGCACCTAATAAATACAAGTTTCAGACTACATACACTTTTGGAAAAATATTCCAGGAATTATCTCATAATCTATTTTATCCCTGGATTTTTTTATAAACACGTTTTTTTATTAATGAAGCCTGTTTAAAAGGCAGATGTGCCTTAAAAATCCCTTTATCTAGACATTTATTAGATCAGAAGTAAAATAAAATTACCTTCATTAAGTTTCTTCTTCATTTCTTTTCTAGCATTATCTTTTCCTCTAGATATAGTCACACAAGGACTTATATTCTTAGCCTCTTCTGCAATTTGTTCCGGAGTCATTCCTGCATTCTCTGATTTTGGTGACCGTAACCTCTCTTCCGAGCTTGATTCACTTTTTGGTACTGGATTTTTAGGAGTAAACGGTTGAGGTTCTATTTGCATTGATTTTCTAGGTGTTTTAGTTACAACGGTAGCTGACTTCGGGGCTGCCATTGACTTCCTTGAGCTCCGAATCTTTAGAATTGGAGAAACATTGTCACTTTGTTCCTTTTCACTAGATGAAATACTCTGTAGAGTAGCTTTTACTAGTTTATTTTTTTTTGGACTTGATTTGTTTCCTTTTGCTTTGGTTTTTCTTTCAGCCTGCTTTGGTGCAGGTAGAGTATCTACAGCTCCATGTCTTAAAGCCTTAGTTCGACTTTGTTTATTTTCTTTTTGTACATTGGGCATAATTGGATCAAATGTAATATTGTGCTTTTTATCTTTTTTAGTTTTTATTGGAGCTAACTTTGGTAAGGTTGTCACATTTTTAATCTCTGGGGGTCGAAAAGAAGCATTTTTTGGAGCAAAAGACTTTGATGAAGATTGACTCGAGTTTGAAGCTTTAGATTCTCTAGATTTGGTATCAAATTTTGCACTTTGAGATCGTGTCACTCTGCCTGATGTGCTGGGCTTTGGTTTCTGAATAGGCGGTGGAGGTATGAACTTCAGTGGAGCGTGAGGTACGCCTGCAACAAATGGTTTTTTCTTTTGTGCAGCCGCTTCCTTCTTCTGCTTTTCTTTTTGCTCTTTCCATTTTTCTAACTGCTGCCTTCTGTGTTCTTCTTTTGACTGGACCTTGGGAGGGGGAACTGGGCTTTCACCTCTTGATAAGTCTCTAACATTATCGAAGCATGAGAGACGATTGCTCTTACGGTGTTTTAGATTATTCTCAAATCTCTTTTTCACCTGAAATGTACATTTGGTCTGTTAATTAAAGTTAGAATCTATGTTTTACACACATATTGGTGCACTCATGACGATTTACTTTGCATTAATGTCAATACTTTGAAAGAATGTAAATACTGGCTAGAGGCCTGTAAAGATAAGAAAAGTAGAAAGCTATGGAGGTGGCTATTCCCAAAGGGCTATGGTCCTTGGCTAAATAAGTAATTAACAAATTAAGCAAAAAAAAACTGATTTAATAAATTAAAAAAACATATAGAATATGTGTATGTCAGATGAAACTATGGGGAAATTGGCAGTGTACAAGCATCAATATTAACCATAGCCATAGACATTGGTTACCTTCTGTGAATAAGACAATCTTCAATGCAGAACCTTAAAATGAAGCTACCCAGTGACTTAACAGGTAATTAATTAGCCAGATGTATAATTGAGTTGGATCATGCTGTTCCTTTTTAATTAAATTGTTATTATTATTATCATTGCTAAGTAGATATTTGAACCCATAAAATATGATAGGCGTGAATGAGAAAGCTCTAAAACTATTAATGAAGTTGTATTGGTTCCCACACTCGGTAATAAAAGTTTTTGCCTGTATTATCATAAATTAGATGCATTAAACATTACATGCAAAGTAAATCTACATGAATACACCAAACTATACCTACATTATTGAAATTACAAGACTTAGGTGCCTCAAACATGGTGAAATGAAGTTTTTATTAGAAATTTAATGGTAAACACAAACCCCGCCTGCTACGCTTCCGAACTGCGAAGGTTTGCTTTTGTGTACTTTCTGGTGGTTCCTCAACAGTCTTCCCAAGTCGAAGCTTTCCTCTGTAAAAGAAACAACGCTAAAATTTGAATGACAACTCTAGTAACTTGAAAATCTTTCCGGACTCAATTTACACATAATCTCAGAACCATAAGTTTTAAGTAAAATTCATAGATTATTTATTAAAAAATGAAGGTAATAAATAATTTTACCTACCCATGACACCTGAAATGAAGTAAAAAACAATAAATTAGGTTGCACACTGGAAATACAAGCAAGCAATTATTTGAAATAACGTAACTGTCATAAACAAAACAAACTCTTGCATGGCACAGATTAAAAAAAATATTATTAAATCTTTTTGTCAATGGCTAGACACCACGAAACCATAGTAAATATCGCTGGAGTCAGATATCTTAAAATTACACAAAACGTATAACTATATTATATAATAGAGGACCATAAAGAATTTTGTACAGATATTTATAGGTAATACGTGTCGTAAACTGTTTCTAAACAATATCAGTATAGAAATGTGCTTTGTTTAGAATATGTAAAAAAATAAGAACGATAACTGTGGGTTATTATTAGAACATAGACATATACATATGTCTATGTTCTCATACCCACCCAGTCCAGGACTTTTTTATAGATATTTTTAAGATATACAATTCTGTAGTATATTTTGATCTATCCCTAATATCTAGCCAGCGTTTGCAATGTAAGCCCACAAAAACATGTTTTTTATGACCTCACTAAACAAATCTGTGAAATTCTAGGATTTCCTCTACTACAATATACATGTATTGTGCATGTAAGCCCGTCCCTTGAATCACTCTCTCTATTGGTGAAAATCGCATTAAAATCCGTCACGCAGGTTAAAAGATCTAAGCGTACAAGAAAAAAGAGCGACTTAATTTTATACTATGTACCAATAATACCCGATGACCATAACTGTATTTTCATCATGGTCAGCTGCTAGTGACAGATAGCATTACGTGTTTCAAATTTGGATTTTTTTGTATGTTCAATTTTAATGCTTGCAATAACCTGTTTAAGCATTCCTTACATAGTATAAGTTCGATGACACAAGATTCCATACATTTCATGTCATCATTTTTGTATGACACATGATGAATGAATGACTTGTACGTGTTCCTCGTCTTCGTAGAGAATGATGTAATGAAATCGTTATAGTCTTTGTTACGAATGAATCTCAGAGTAGAATTCTGCTCTAAGAAAAATAATTTTCGAGGCCCCATCACACATTCCTACTCCTAGAGTCTGGTATCTAAGATCCTAGATATAGTGCGACATCAAGTCCTATTGGACAAAACCTATTAAAATATAACATAATTAAATATAAGATAAGGTTGAAAATACATTCGGAACGCGTTACTAGGTACTATAGATACGATGATGTGCTAAAAACAAAATATGTATTCTTATTTCTTATGTTAACTTTGCAAATCGGCGGGAATATGTGTTGATATTTAAATTGTGAAAAACATTGAATTGAATATTTTGCCAATGTTGCATTTTAAGAATAAAATTTGAGGTCTGTGATAAATCTGCCTAATAATTTTTTACTCAAAACTTATTTCAACCTGAAAAATTGGTCATATTATTATCAGGGTCACACATTACAATAAGCATCAAATAAAAATCAAACATTTTGAAGGTCAACGAAACCAACAAATAAACAAACTGTAGCAACATTGAAAAATAAAATGTACTAACACGGCAATACAATTTCCGATTTCCGGCTGTCAGCTGATAGACTCCCTATTGCTTTCCAAAAAACCTATTTCGATTTTCGCAAAGAAATAAAACGTCAGGCACCATTCAACATGGGCTTAAAATACGCGATCAAAAGCTAGTTTTAGCTGAAATATTGCTCTAATTGTAGCGTTATTGTTATTATAGTTTCATTTTACATGTACGTTGTGTAACTTTATTAGTAGAAAATGGATACGTTCAATATAGGATACTTCAGTTATGGCGTTTGTTGATCATTAAAAAATTACGTTCGGTTCATAGTTTTTCTTTATATTTGATGTCAGCTTTTCGTTTGTGATCGTCTGTTTAGTTCGTGTTCACGTGTTAAATGAAAAAATGGTAAAGGAGAAGCCTAATTCGATTCGGATTTATGACGACGAAGGATTTAGACGTCGCGCGGCGTGTATCTGCGTTCGTTCTGATGCCGAAACAGAGGTTAGTGTAGTAATTCTGTTCTTTGAGTGGTAGTGACGCTGTGGGATAGTGAGCAGAGCTTGTAGCTTAATGTTGTGTTGCGTAGGTGCTCCTGGTGACGTCGTCGCGACGTCCTGACAACTGGATTGTACCAGGCGGCGGCGTCGAGCCTGAAGAAGAGCCTTCAGTGACTGCTATGCGTGAGGTACTTGAAGAAGCCGGCGTCATCGGCAAACTGGGCAGATGTCTCGGCGTTTTCGAGGTAAGCTGTCATTACACCTGGTAAACAGGTTTTTTTCATGGCGATATTGAGTATATCTGTTTGACACAACAAAAAAATCTAATGTTATATGATTTGCATATCATGTCAGTTAAAAATATGGAATGAGATTGTTAGTTTTGGTTTTTATAGACACAATTACCAAACAAATAGAGATATTTTGTTCAAATGGAAACTTACTTTTTAAAATTCATTACTAGTTACTCTCTTTGTCTGCCAGATGCTATTTTTTTTGTATTTATATTCAAGTTTATTGTCCATAATGTCCATTTAAAATTATTTCTGTTGCTTATTTTCATTATTTACTTATTTTGTATTTAAGCACTAAGTTTCAACCTCTGTAATGGCTGACATATGTTATAAAGTGCTGTGTAAGTATAAATGTAATGGGCAAAACACAATATCAGCTCACAATAATAACCTCAGATATCTCACACTAGCTGACCTGCGCAACTTTGTCTGCATCTCTCAATAGTAATAAATTTTCTCCGTTTTTGAAACATTCTTCATTGGTGCTCCGCTCCTATTGGTCTTAGCGTGATGATATATAGCCTATAGCCTTCCTCGATAAATGGGCTATCTAACACTGAAAGAATTTTTTAAATTGGACCAGTAGTTCCTGAGATTAGCGCGTTCAAACAAACAAACAAACTCTTCAGATTTATAATATTAGTATAGATGATCTAAAACTAAGCAACGCCTGTACTATTCTAACGGAACTGCTGATAAACATACTCATAAATTACTAAATACATACATATCTTAGATAAATTACACCTAGACACAAATTATAATGCTCACATCAACAGCCTTCAATAGTCCACTGCTGGACATAGGCCTCTCCTTAGAAAGGAGGTTATAATGCTCATCACACAAATATTTGTCCTGGGTGGGAATCCATGGGCCAACAGGCCAGTCAAAACAATATTTACTGGTTTTTGTACATATGAACAATGCACGCACACTATATGTTTTCCATAACCACACATATATCTCTTAATGCATTTTAGAACAAAACATACACTTACCTGTGACATGATATTCTTTGATCTTTATTTACCTTTTTGTCATAATTTGTGCACTTTCAGAATACACAGGAAGGCATTTTAATCAGTCAGTCTTACTTAGGACCCGTTTTGTATGTAGGTGGTATATCTATCTCTTGTTTGTATATAATATCATTGCATATGAATAAATAAATATTCATTGATTATTCCATACATTTAAAACTGAACATTTATACATATGTTTCAATATGAAGTCTTACAAATAGCATAAAGTTAAATAGAGTACAAATTAAATATCTGCAATGAACTTTGCAACATAATATGTTTTATTAAGATCAACAATCAATAAAACTCCTTTTTAACATCACTCAGCCAATGTTCGGAGAGCTCACAATTTAAATGTATCGGGAAACAAAACTGTGCCCCCTTTATCATAATCACATTACCAGCCTTTAAAAGTCCACTTCTGAACATCCTCTCCTTAGAAAGGATGTTTTGCCCTACTATACCACACTGGCCAGACAGGTCGGTACAAGGTTTGTGTCAAGCTTTCCTTCTTATTGCAGCGTTGTTGTCCTGAATAGTTTGCACCCTTATTTGGCTCTTAAGACACCTATGTTATGAATAGAAATGGTGACACTACATATTTTTAATCTGTCTCCACACAGATGACTAGTTGTGCACCCTTTATTATTCCACATAGACCTTTTCAAACTAGATATATTGGCTCTTTTATTGAAATACCTATTTCTGTTCAGCATGGCACTGTTTTTAAAAAGGTCTTACTTTACTGATATACAATGCTACTACAGTGAAACAGACTAATCTTACGAGTAATTATTTTGGATTTATTAAGTCACTAAAAGTCTTAGGGATTTCGTAAAACAAAAACTATAAACTTATCGCAGTTATGCCTGTGGTCCTAGGGCCCCAAACAATGTGTAAAACATACTAAATCCTGATTTGTCAAGAACTGGGTTTTTAGATTAAAAAACACTTTTTTTATCTAGTTCCAGGGGTTATGCTTGTAAATTGTGAAATAAGATTTTTGTGTTGATAATTATGATAATGTTTTTTGTAAACAGTATGCAGTTATACAATATGTGTTTTTGGAATATTAATGCAGTTTTTTTTAAACTTATTTTCTATTTTTAACTGCCCAAAAAAGGAGAAAGTTCTAAATTTGATTGAGAATGTATTTTGTGTGTATGTTAGATAAATCTTCGACATTTTTGAATTGGTATTGTTTTTATTTCAATGATGCCTAATATTATTACGTAATAATAGGCTATTTATAGTTCAATATAATAATAATAACTTCACGCATCTCACACACGGCAGTCTGATCCCAAACTAGGCAGAGTCTGTACTATGGTAACCAGAATGCTGATAAACATACTTATATATTTCTAAATACATACATATTATAGATAAATTAGACCCAGACACAGAACAAATGACTGTGCTCATCATACAATAAGAATATCCTAGATCATAGGCGATCGGATTTTGACTATTTCTGTGGTCGTCTGTGAGATCCTTCCTAGCGTACAGTTAGATAGCCCCGAACTGCCTCAAAGCTACTACTTAGCAAAAAGTACAAAAAAGTAATAAAATAATCGGAAAATTGTTTGCTTGTGTAACCTTGAGACGGTTAAAGTAGCGAGCTTAAAGTAAATACTGGCGTATTAAATAAAAGCAATTGTTTGGCAGAACTAATTCGATGTCTTTGTCTAAACCTTACCACTCTAAATGTATCAGTGGGGTTACGCTTGCCTTCCTTCGAGTCTCAAGGGCGCTGAAAACTATTCATCGTTTCATATTATCAGGACTTTACATCGGTACAATACATACTTTGAAGCCCAAAATCGATCTAAGTGGCGTGCAATGGGGGAGGCTCATATCCAGAAGTGGACTGCGATAGGCTGATGATGATGATACTTTGTCGTTGTGCTAAGAAAAGACTGACTGCACGAATGGCGCAGTGGTTTAAGCGGTCGCCACGCCGCTTCCTATTGCGCCGAGTGTTGTTTGTTCAAACCCCACATGGGACGACACTTTGTGTGATCCACAAATTGTTGTTCTGAGTCTGGGTGTTCTTTGTGTCCGTTTCATACATGTTTGTAAAGTCCCCCGCGACACAGGATATGTTCCTAATGCGGGAGTTGTCTTTTTAATAAAATAAAAAAATAAGAGCAATTTTTTATGAAATATTGGCAAACAAGCAATTGGATCACATGTTAGTGTTGCTTATGGACTCCTGCGCCTTAAGAGACAAGTAAGTTGCCGATGTGTAAGTTAAAGTATGCTCTTTTCTTCAAGGTTTGAAGGCCAAAAGTCCAGAAATACCGCTGACGAGTACTTGTTCCACAGATTGGTTCAGCACATTCGTTGTCTGGGTGTCATTTATCTAAAATATGTATGTATTAAAAATATATAAGTATGTTTATCAACAGTCTGGTTACCATAGCACAGGCTCTGCCTAGTTTGGGATCAGACGGCCGCGTGTGAGATGTGTAAGATATTATTATTATTATTTCCTAAGACTTATAGAGAGTAAAGCTTAACAATTCTAAAAAAATACTCGTAAAATTAACTTGTTTCACTGTGGCAGCAGATTACATTAGCAAAGTAAGACCCTTTTAAAAACAGTGGCGCGCTGAACACAAATAGGTATTGCAATTATAGAGAATAAATTTGTTCTATAGATTGGTTGTGCAATGCTAAAAGTGTTGTGAATATAAAATGATACAGGCAGAGTGCCTACACCGTTTTTTCTAGTCTATGTGTCATATGTTCCAGTTTTAAATCGAATAAATTCCTTATCTCTATCACTGATAGAATGTATAATTTATACAGTTTGAAAAAAACATAATCGATGTCTCGAATAACCTTTTTACGATGTCTCCTCGCAATCGAAGTAACTATAAATCAAAAAACACCGAATCTACTAAAAACTCCTTGAACCTAAACCTTTTTTTGTTTGTAAGTAATAACTTAGTTATGACATATTTATGGCAATTAGAATGTTTATTGCTATACTTAAGCAAATATTGCTTTTTTCTTTGTCTAATTCTAAACGAAATTTATGTACCCTTCAGTTCTTATATAAAATATAAAATAGTGTATAAAACTGACCCAGATACCCTAAAAGAATAAGTATATAGGACGATCATCTGCACGGAGCTGAATTGCGACTGTTAAGAGAGATCTGTGGTGTAGCCAGGATGAACAAGGTATAGAATGACTACATTAGAGGAAGCCTATCAGGGGTACATACCTACCAACAGGTGATCATAATCTATGGACCAGGATCACCTGTTTTATTTTTTTTATTTAATTACTTGAATGTGTAAGGAACAGAACTTACAGGGAACATTTAGGGGTCTCGAGAGGTATAAATATCGGCCTTTGTAATAGTGTTCTGGCCAAACCTGTGTCGGTTGAAGCCCGGAAATTATATAAATTGGTAGAGATGTGTCTATGTTAGATGTTAACTAATATATTCGTACTGTCACATGGCGATGTGGTCGCACAGCGACAAAGCCCTTTAAAAAAAAAAAAAAGCTTTTGGACAATGGCATCCTTGTATGCCAGGATAACCTATTGCTTCTCAACTTTTCATCACATGTCCGTTCATACATGTAATGTGTAGAGATCAGCAAAACGTAATGAAGAACATAAGTTCATGAATAACGACTACTAAAGAGGGGCTCGTAGGTGACCATTTTTAACACTTGGAGAACACATAAAGCCCTTGATCACGGTACGAGTCGTACAAAGTCCAACAACAGTCATTCTACAAAACTTCGATATCGGAGTTGTGGAGGTCTGATGGCAGTAAAAAAATCAGCCGTATCGTAATAGACCTAAAGCCGACCCCAACGTTTGGGATAAAGGCTCTGAGGAAGAAGGACTACCAAAGGAAAGATGGAAAGACTGCGTGAGAGACAGCACTTTGATTTAAAAAAAACTTGATGGATTTAAAAAAACGTGTGC